AGAGTTTGTCTTAAAAATATTTCATCTAGACCCCCATAAGCAAAGACTTTTGGGTAAAGTGTGAGTTAGAAAAAAAGCTGTGTTGTATCTCATGATAATGATGAATGGTAAGTTTTCCAGCTTCCCCTCCCACTGGTCAGTCTGGACAAGATGTAGGGAACAACTGGGCACGTCAAGATCTTGTCACAATTGCAAAAAGTGCCCCTTCTAATTCTACACTCAGATGGGTCCCTATCTTTTCCCAGGGGGACTTTCTGGTGTCACGTGTTCACTTTCCACAGGGACATCTGATCCTGGACACCATAGGAGAGAGGCATGTACATTGTCATGTCTTCTAGAGCTCTCATTGAGCTCTCAGTATCAGGGAAGCAGGGTTAAAGTTCCTTAACTTCTCACATGCAAGTAAGAAATCTTGGAAGTAAAGCAAGCAGCATCGTTACTATCAGCAAATGCCTGTATAATTAGTAACTTTTTACCATCCAAACAAAACCTATGATGGAAAGTGTTGGGAGGAAATGACTCCTTGGCCTAAGTTTGGACTAACAGAGTATCTGTGTCAATGACTGAGATGTATTTTTTTTTTTTAAATATATTTACTGTTTAATAACTTGATTTACATACATCAAGTAAAAGGAGCAATCTAAACACCATAGACAGAGGACTGGTTAGCCCAGCGCTCAGAGCAATTCATTGCCATAGAGCTTGTATAGTTGCATAGTCTAAGTTGAAAAAAGACTTAAGTCCATCAAGTCCAACATTGAAACCCATTCTTTAATGCTGTTGTTCCAAAAAGAGGCAAAAACAAAAAAAATCCAATTGTAGCCATTTACAATCATACCACAAAAAGGGGAAAATTATCTTCTTTAATCAGTAATGGCAATCCGATTTCTTCTTGGATCAAGAACCTGTTCATATACATATGGAATAGATATTGATTACTATAAGTGTAAATTCCACATAATAAAATCATCTGAAGAGACTAATCTATGGCGCCAGGGAGAGTCTTTTATACAACGCATGATAATAAAAACAAAAAAAAACATGGTGCCTATAGATTCTTTCTATCGTAACTATAATATTGAACTGTCATGGTCATGATGCTTAGGATGCCCATTTTTCGTCAATTTATCCATGATTATCAATTGAATCTTGGATGCAATTTATGGCCCACAGAGTGATATCCATCAGCTCTAGCAAGAAGTTATCCAGTAACAAGGCAGATCCAGAGGTGAACCTAAGAATGGCACCTACTAACACTTACAAACTTGCATACATACCTACACAGACACTTAAAAAAACAGATATGTAAGCAATTACATACAAACACTTGCACACTTTACCTTTGGTAGTGATGAGTTAGACACCCAGATACCCAGTAAAAATGAGGGCAGAATAATTTTGCAGAAATCTAAAATACTGGGTCTCAGTTTTGCAGCACAAGAAAGACAAACAAAAAAAACCTCTTATAGTTGTTTGTGTTGCTCTTGTGATCATGTTAGGATGCATCCAATCCTCCATGACTGCTCCTACCTTTAGGACATCTGTAGCATTGTGCAATTTGTTGGGTAAGGAGGACCCTAAGAAGCCAGGGACTGTCTGGTAGTCAGCAGGAACTGACTGACGGGACATCCCCTCTCTGTGAGAATTTTCTTTCGGTCAACCCCTGCTGATGGCCAGACAATAAATGTCCCTGGGATCTTACCATGCTAACAAATTGCACAATGGCTTCTCGGATGGGGAATTTGTTCTTGTGCTCCCCCCAGGATCCATCACTGGTGACAGCTCGCAGGATGGTTGCAGGCCAACATGGCACAATAGCTAACTCCACCTGAACCACCCGCACATTCGCTATCCAGCAGGCAACAGGGAAGAGCAAGCAAAAACCCGCTTGAGCTTAGAAGATGCCAGCCGTGACTCTGTGCTGGAGACTGCTGTATGGTTACATAGATGGCAATAGGAAGTGGAAATGGCTGCTCATGCTGCTAATTGTAGGACAGAGAAAAGCTAGCCTAATATTAGTGGTGGAAAAGAGGTAAATTCCAATGGCGGTGGGATTGTTGTAATACTTAATGGAGAATGGAGATTAGTAATGCCTAATGATGATGGGAAATAGCAGGATGATGCCTCATTGTGAGGAGAGAGGGAAGGGATGATGCTTCATGATGATGTGAAGCGCCACCATGAGGAATCACCCTCCTCCCATCACCTCTAGGCATCACCTTACCTCTTTCTCACTTCATCACTAGGCATCACCTCCACCACCATTAGAAATCCACCAACCCCCATAGCGAATCACGTCTCTCACTGTCCTCACTATTAGGAATTATATTCCCTCCAACTTCCACCACCATTAAGAATCACCCCGTCCCCCTCTGAAACTCTTAGTAAACCCTTTTCCATTCCTAGCTACAGCATATTTCTTGAGTTTTGCTCTCTCTCCACTGGAAGATGGGAGATGGAGGGGGAAAATACCAATGGTGAGAAAGGGAAAAAGTAATGGTTTCAAAATAGTGGTTCGCGAGGTAGAGGGTGATGGAAGAGAGAGTAGGATGATACCTAAATGAGGGCCCGCGCCCACTAGAACAATGTATCATCCCCTCCCTCTAACACCACCATTAGGCGTACCTCTCTTATTTCTCACATCACCAGAAGTTAGCAACCCCCTTCCTCTCCCATGACTATTGAAATATATTTTATAAACTTTAAATGTATTTAATGTGTTGATATAAATATTATAAGTTTTATTCACATTTCGTCCAGAACACTGAAATTGAGAAGCCATACCTAGGCCTATAGTATTACAGACTTTCATTGTATAGGAATGGAGACCATATCTGGTTCACTTTAAGAGTGATAGATGAAGGGCCTGCTTATAGTAACCTTTGACCTAAGCTTTGCTAGCCAGTCTCCCTCTGTATTACCAAGGCTCATATTTCTGAATAATCTATTCAGTTACCATGCATATAGAACTTCTTTGTGTAGCTTACCGCCAAAAATATAACGTATGGCTTTAATCATAGATTTCAAATGATGCTAAGTCACGCCCCTCTTTCTAAGATAGCCACATATTTTAAGGTAAGGCAATCTTATGTGTACGCCCCTCTGTAAAAAACTGATTGTAGCTTAGAATTTGTGGCCAATACCTTTAACATCAAAAATGGATAACATATGTAACATTGCTATGTATTGGACAAAGACTGTTAATGATATATATCCTCCTTCCTTTCCCATCACCATTAACACAGCTCATTTCTTCTCCCATTTATTAATCAGCATTCAATCTCTCTCCCATCACCACAAGGCATCACTCTCCCTTCCATCATAATTAGGCATCAACCCTCCCTATTCCATCCTGATTAAACATCATCCCTCCTTCTCTCATCACCATTAGGCAAGCCTCCCTCTCCCACCGCTAACATTACGCACCATGAAACTCTCTCTTACCAGGGCTGTATCTACCGTAAGGCAAACAAGGCATTTGCCTTGGGCAGCACTTTCCAGGGGGTGGCAAAAAATGTTGCCCCCAAATGCCCAGGCTAATGCCTTGTTTGCCTCATTTTATGGGGGCCCAAGAGCTGGCCGACTGGCCACCTATGGGCCCCCCCAGGGCAGGCAGCCAGTTGTTTCCTGTGCGGGCGGCGAGGGAGCACTTTCCACTGAGCTCTCCTGCTCAGCTCCCTTGCGTGACCCACAGTGATGCCGGGAGCCGGAATATGACACCAGTCCGGTTCCCGACATCACTTTGCGACGTGCGAGGGAGCTGTGCAGGGAGATCACAGCTCCCTCACTGACAGCTAATCGAGGCTGCCTGCACATCCGCACACCTTCCTGCCCAGCAGACCCACTGTACCCCAGGTGAAAAATCCACACAGCTCTCCTAAAAGTAGGGAGGCTGGGTGGATTTACATTTTTCAAAAAATAATAATTGTGAGTGTTGGGGGGAAATGTGTGTGTGTGTGTGTGTGTGTGTTTATCAGTCAATGTGAATGTGTGTGTGTGTGTCAGTGAATATGAGTGAGTGTGTGTCAGTGTGTGTGTGTGTGTCAGTGAGTGTGTGTGCGTCAGTGAATGTGTGTGTATCATTGAGTGAGTTTGTGTCTGTCTGTCAGTGAATGTATGTGTATGTCTGTCAGAGAGTGCCTGTCAGTGTGTGTCTGAATAATTGAGTGTGTCTGTCAGATTGTGTCAAATCAGTGCGTGTATGTGTATGTCAGTGTATCTGAGAGTGTGTGCTGGTCCATGAATGTGTGCAGTCAAATTTAGATATCCAGCTGGAGACTAACAACTCTGAGGGGCCGGCTTATAGCTTTGTGATTTTTACAAATCACTGCAGTTCTAAGCAACTCATAGAGCTCTATGCACAGGGTCAGATTAACCTAGGGTCTGATGGAGCTGCAGCTCCAGGCCCAGGTCCAGGCCCAGGCCCAGGCCCAGGCCCATGGAATAGGTCCATTTAAAAAAAATAAAAAAAAAAAATATATATATATATATATATATTTTTATTTTTTTTTACACACTACTCTTAGGTTTGCCACCTGGTATTTTAAGGCACAGCCGGTATTTGAGGCTGCCTGGTCGTGACGGTATTGCAGTAATACCGGCAATACAAATGCAAATATTTTTCTCAGTATAAACTGAGATTACTCTGCAATACCAGCACCGGCCAGTAGGGGGTCACTATGTATGGAGAGAGGCAGGGATAGGAAGTTACAGCAGAGGGCCACCCGATGGATATGGATTTTTAGGGGGCCCGGCCAACGCTGGGCACTTTAACAGGGCGACAGGGCCTGGGATGATGTAAGATCTGGGAGGAAGTGACAGCCTGTCACTCCTCCCAGCTGTCATAGAGCCATGTAGGAGGAATGAGGAAGAAGGAGGGAGTCAGAGTGGGAACTCTGACTCCCATCAGGCTGAGCCCCCACTGGACCCCAGGGAAAGTCACCCTCCTGCAAAAGGTAGGAAACAGGAGGGTGACTTAAACATTTTGTGTGTGTGTGTGTGTATGTGTCTGTATGTGTCTGTATGTATGTGTCTGTGTGTGTCTCTGTATGTATGTGTCTGTATCATACAAACACACAGACACACACAGACACATACATACAGACACACATACAGACACACACATACAGACACACACATACAGACACATACATACAGACTCTGTGTGTGTGTCTGTCTGTTTCTGTCTGTGTGTATGTGTCTGTATGTATGTATCTGTGTGTATGTGTGTGTGTCTCTATGTATGTATGTGTCTGAGGGATGGCACGGATCGGGGGGGGGGGAAGGGGGCCCACGGATCAGTTTTGTACCGGGGCCCCATGTATTGTGTGTATGCCATTGCTCCCTCTCACATTACAATTAGCGTTCATTCTCTCCCTCTCCCACCACTATTTAAGGGTCAGTCTAAACACCAACTTTTCAACATTGATGGCGCGTAGACAGGGCCAGATTAAGAGCCCAGTGGGCCTGGTGCCGACAATTATGATGGGGCCTAACTACAGAATCTTATCGACCAAAAACACTAAAACAGTCATACCTCCTAAGCGTCATGTATCTGATGGAGTTGGTGTTGGATGGAAACTCAAAGGATACAGCTATAAGAAAACACATACTCTATGCTAATCTCTTTATCTAATTTATGCTTTCATCTTTCAAGTAAATCCATACCCCCTAACAGCAGTGTCCAGTGAAGCAGGAAGTCAATGGGCGGGGTAAACGGGTGGGCCTCTGACGCGAATCACGTGACCAGAACTGCCAAAAGGGGCGAACATGCCCAAAGAGGGGACATGTCTGTCCAAAGAATTGGAAGGCCAGTCTGGCATCAGTGTCCCTATGTATCACAGTGTCAGTGTCCACATGTCTCAGTGTGTCCTGTGTCACTAGGATACTAGGGGACACAGTGAGACAATTGGGGACACTGGAAGAAATGGGAGCACTTGTGGGTACAGACATGGACACTGGGAGACATGGGGACACTGAGAGACATGGGGACACTGAGACATTTGGGGACACTGATAAAAATGGGGTAACATATACATGGGGACACAGACATTTGGGGAAACTAAGACACTAGGGACACAGAAACATGGGAACACAGACACTGGGAGACTAGGGGACACAGACACTAGGAACACTGGCTGGGAGGCATGGGGACACAGACACTGGGAGACATGGGGGCACTTGTGGACATAGACATGGGGACACTGGGAGACATGGGGATACTAGGGACACAGAGACATGGGGACACAGACACTGGGAGACATGGGGACACTGAGACACTAGGGACACTGGCTGGGAGACATAGGGACACTGGGAGACATGGGGACACTGAGACACTGGCTGGGAGACATGTGGATACTGGGAGACATGGGGACACTGAGACACTGGCTGGGAGACATAGGGACACTGAGAGACTAGGGGACACTGGCTGGGAGACATGTGAACACTGGGAGACATGGAGACACTGTGTCCCTAGTGTCTCCATGTCCCAATGTGTCTCCCTATGTCTCACAGCATCCCCATGTGTCTCAGTGTCCCCATGTTTCCCAGTGATCCAAGTCTCCCAGTGTCCCCACGTCTTCCAGTGTGCCCTAGTGTCTCAGTGTCCCCATGTCTCCCTGCTGCCTTTCCCCCTTCCTTCACATACCTGAGCTGTAGTCTGTCTCTGCAGGCTGGGAGCTGCTGTCTGGACTCTCTGTGCTGTGTAGCTGCTCCCCTGCGGATCAGTGAGTAGAGGGAGGCAAGGAGATGCTGTAACTTCCTATCTCTGCCTCTCTCCATACACAGTGACCCCTACTGGCTGGTGCTGGTATTGCAGAGTAATCTCAGTTTATACTGAGAAAAATATTTGCATTTGTATTGCCGGTATTACTGCAATACCGTCAAGACCAGGCAGCCTCAAGTATCGGCTGTGCCTTAAAATACCAGTCAGGTGGCAAACCTAAGAGTAGTGTGTAAAAAAAAATTAAAAAATATATATATATTTTTTTTAAATGGGCCTATTCCATGGGCCTGGAGCTGCAGCTCCACAAGCCCCTATGCTAATCCGGCCATGGGGTAATATGTATGTTGATAATAATAACCATTAGACATCACCCCCACCTTCTCTTATCATTATTAGACATCACCAGCTCCCTTCTATATCACCATCTGGTACCCTAGCTGTACATAAGGTAGAGACCCCTGGACAGAACCCCTTACGACAGCCCCCATACCGTATCCCTGAAGCAGTCCGGGAAGGAATGCGGAAGGAGATACAGGAGATGACTCGGCTTGGAGTCATCGAACACTCCGACAGTCCTTGGGCCTCGCCTGTAGTCCTAGTGCCTAAGAAAGATGGGACCACCCGGTTCTGTGTGGACTACAGGCGGCTCAACGAGAGGACCACCACTGACGCCTACCCGATGAATTATTAGACCGTATCGCCAGGGGACGTTATCTGACCACCATAGACCTGTGTAAGGGCTATTGGCAGATCCCCCTGGCCGAGGATGCTATCCCTAAGTCGGCATTCGTCACCCCATTTGGCCTGTACCAGTTTATGGTCATGCCATTTGGGATGAAGAATGCTCCGGCTACCTTCCAGCGTATGGTGGATGGCTACCAGGAATTTGCTTGTGCATACCTGGATGACATTGCGGTCAACAGTGAGTCCTGGGAGGAACACCTGGTGCATGTAGGGGTGGTTCTGGACAAGATTCGGGCCGCTGGCCTGACCTTGAAACCAGACAAGTGCCATCTAGGCATGGCTGAAGTACAGTACCTGGGTCACAGAGATGGGTGTGGGAGCCAGAGACCAGAGCCAGCCAAGGTAGAGGCAGTGGCTAACTGGCCCACACCTATCACGAAGACCCAGGTGCTAGCTTTCTTGGGGACGGCAGGGTACTACCGACGTTTTGGCCCTGACTACAGTACTATCGCCAGGCCCCTGACTGACCTGACTAAGAAGAACTTACCTAAGCAGGTCCTGTGGTCTCCAGCTTGTGAAGCCGTGTTTCAGGCCCTGAAGCAGGCTCTTGTGGATGCCCCTGTCCTGGCTGCCCCAGTCCCTAACAAACGCTTTCTCGTCCACACAGATGCTTCCATGTATAGACTGGGGGCTATGCTGAACCAGGTCGGGGAAGATGGAGGAGAGCACCCTGTCGCATATCTCAGCAGAAAATTACTACCTCGGGAAGTGAGCTATGCGGCAGTGGAGAAAGAGTGTTTAGCCCTGGTCTGGGCACTGAAGAAGTTGAGCCCCTATTTATACGGACAGGAATTCTCTCTTATAACGGAACACAATCCCCTTGTCTGGCTTAACCGGGTCTCAGGAGACAATGGCCAATGCTGTGGTGGAGTTTAGCCCTACAACCATACAACTTCACCATCAGCTACCTATCCGGTAAGCAGAACGGGAATGCTGATGGATTGTCCCAGCAAACTGACACCCGCCAAAGGGTCAAGTCGGGTCTGCCGGAGTGTCCCACAAGGAGAGAGCCGTGTGACAGATCCATCTGTGTAAAGACTAATTGCTGGTTCGTCTGTTTCATTTATGTTCATGGAATTACCTGCCCGTACGTCCCTGTTCGTTTATTGCAAGTTATACCGAACAAAACTACCGAACGGACGGCCACCCAGAAGAGAAGTGTGCTGCTGGTTAACCTCTTGGCCCCAATTGGAACGTTGTGGTTAACCGCAGACGCCTCTTCATTCTAACCGTATGCAGGGTGGTTGTCGTTCATATGCCGACCATGAGGCGGCGGCCATTTTAACCTCGCGAATGAACAGCGGTGTACGACGAAGAACTTATGGAACTCTAAACGGACACTTTTTCCTACCGAACACTGCTGAAACTACCGAACGCCCTTCTTATCATCGGGCATACGAACTTCGGTCCGTTTGGGACTTTGGATCATACGAATGGACTTAACCCAGATAGCCATCCCATGGAGTCAATCGTATAACGAAAGGACAGTGTGAAAGACTTTGACTCCATGGCGATTAAACTGTGTGCATTGGGTCTGAGCGCTATTCGGTAGTAATGTGCGCTCAGATCCAGGCTATCTGGGGATATGTTACACGAATCAAATATATTCGGTATTTTCATAGTTATGTATTTTTATGCATTTTTAATGTATCATGTAAAATGGCGGTTTGCCTCTATCCTTGGAGATAATTGGATTTCTTCCCAATTATCTCCAGGATAGAGAGGAGGGATTCACTTGTGTAAAGGGGTGTGTTTAAACCTGAGCCACTGTGATTGGCTACTGTACGATATATGTCCCAGTCTTCCATCTGGTCCCCTAGGGGAGTGTCCACCAGGTGGGAGACCTGCATAAAAACCGGGCAGGTAGCCCTCATTAATGCAGTCAAAAAACAATGCCTGTTTTACCCTCAAGACGGAGCTTGGTCTCGTGTTTGGGGGGATTGGTACTTGGAAGTATTATTTTGCCTGGTATAGCCGTGGAAGGAGTTCGGCTAATACTTTGTTTGTGGGTTTATCGCATTCTCTTATACTCCGTTCGGGAGTTTGGCGGTCTACTGCAATAGAGCCTGTGTCTCTGAAAAGGGGAGGATTAACTAAAGGCAGTTTCACCCATTTAAGCTGTGAGTGTCTTAACACTGTGCATGGGGGGTACTGTTTTACTCTGTACATTTCACTGAATGCAAATATTAGTGTTTCAAAACAGTAAAACATTACAGCGATGTTATTGTCAGTGAAAGTGAAATTTTTTGTATTTTTCACACACAAACGGCACGACATTGTTGTAATACGTTTAACTGTTTTAAAACACTAACATTTGTGTTCAGCAAAGTCTCCCGAGTATAACAGTACCCCCCATGTACAGGTTTTATAGTGTTTTTGAAAGTTACAGGGTCAAATATAAGGCCTTTTTTTCACATTGAAATTTACCAGATTGGTTATGTTGCCTTTGAGAGATCAGGAATGAGAATTACCCCCATGATGGCATACCATTTGCAAAAGAAGACCACCCAAGGTATTGCAAATGAGGTATGTTCAGTTTTTTTAGTAGCCACTTAGTCACAAACACCAGCAAACATAAGTTTTTTGCATAATAGTTTTTTGCATTTTTAACACACAAACAAATATACATGCTAACTTTGGCCAG